ATATTTTTTATTAGAGTTTAATGGTTGAATATACATCTTTTTAATATTTGGTTAGATGAAACAAGAAGAATGCATAAAGCACTTCTGCTGCAATGACGTACTAAGATTTTTCTGAAGCAAGGACATTTGTGTGATGGTTTGTGTTGTAAGATGAACTAGCCACTCTTTTCATGAATCATCATTCTTACTTTAAAGAACAAATGAGGTATACAACCAGAGAAATGAAAATTTGTGCTCCACTGGTGTACAATGAATCGAAATGAATTTTGCTGTCATATATACCTAATTTGAAGGAAGGAAGGAAGGAAGGAAGGAAGGAAGGAAGGAAGGAAGGAAGGACGGACAAATGATAGACAAATTATGGTTATTTAAACTTTAGTATTTGGCAGACTTTTTTTTTTTTTTTACATGAATCAAGTGAGCATGCCTCTTGGAAGTAAACAACTGACAATATTTGTTGCCAAAATAACATTGCAATAGACTAAATGTAAAAATGGCTATGAGAAACCATCTGTCTTCTATTAAGCCTAGCATTACAGAGGTCTGCAAAGAATATAAAACAATACCACTCCTCACTATATTTGTAGGAAGTTATTTTTGATAAAAAAACACTTATGTAGCTCAGCACAGGGTGTATACCTGTAATCCCAGTGACTTGAGAGGCTGAGGCAGGAGGATCACAAGTTCGGGGCCATCTTGGGCAACTTAGCAAGATCCCGTCTCTACATAAAAATTGAAAAGAAAAAGGACTGGAATTTAGCTCAGGGGTTGAGCACTCCTGGGTCAAATCCCCAGTGCAATAAAAAAAAAAAATGCTTATGTTACATGTCATATGAAATTTTATTATTATTTGAAAATGGATTAATATTTTTAAATCCTCAATCTTAATTTCTCTTTGCAATACTGGAGATTAAATCCAGAGGCACATTATCACTGAGATACAACCCTAGCCCTTTTATTTATTTTGAGACAGTGTTTCACTAAGTTGCCCAAGTTGGACCTGAACTGGTGATCCTCCTGCTTTAGACTCTGGAGTCTTTAGAATTACAGGTATGTGCTGCCTAGCTTGGCTCTCAATTTTAATTTCTTATTTTTCAAAGGAAAGTTTTAAACTTTATTTTATTTATTTCTTTGTGTGCTGCTGAGGCTTAAACCCAGTGCCTCACATGTATTAGGCAAGCACTCTACCACTGAGCCACAACCCCAGCCCTCAATTTTAATTTCTAATATGGTAAATATAGATACAAAACACAAAATCTTTTTGGGATCCTTGATAATTTACAACAATATAATGGGATTACAAGAAAAAAAGTTTGAGAATCATTGCCTACATCAATAAAAGAGAATGAATTAGGACTATATACAATAATGGAGATGAAACTGGCAAGACAATCATGGTAGTGTGTCTAAAGAAGACAAAAAATTCATATGATTATATTTATATGAAGCACAAAAATGGGTAAAACTAAACTATGTTGCTTAGGATGAATAAGTAGCAAAGCAAAGATCTACATAAAAGACTATTATGAAAGACAGCAAGGGATTATGATTCTTCAATCACTTATGAAAGAATTTCTTTGAATATAGCTAAGTTTTATTTCTTGATCTATATGGTGGCTAGACTTTTTATAATTACTAATTTATTTTATATTTATATTTTATTTGTAATAAATTTCTGAGCTGAATATATATTTTAAAAAGYAGGGAAAGCTTCATTATCACTACAGGGAAACAAAAGAAAAAACCCATAAAAATAGAAAATAATTAAAATATTAAAACAAAAGTAGTGTATTTATTCTAATTACTATACTAGATTTTAAGGCAAAAAGCACTTCTAGAAAACTAGTATCATACATAATAAACGATACAATTCACTAAGAAGATATAAATAATCCATATTCTTACGCAGGTAATAATAATGTTTCAAAATATGCAAAACAAAAATTAAGAAAGTTATAAGTACAATTTAATAAATCTATCATTGTGATATATAATCCAATATACTAATTTACAGATGAAGCAGATAAAAAAATCAATAATAACAGAAGATTTAAAACACATAATTAACATTCAGGGCAATATGTACATATATTACAGCCCTRTACCCCAAATTGGAGAATATCTTCTTTCAAAATAAAGATTACTTATGAATATTGACATGGTTTTTGCACATAAAACACTTCTCACACATGTTAAATAATTGATAAAAACTACTGGTACGTTTTCTGATGGCAATGTGATTAGGGTAATTAAGAATAATCTTTCAAAAAATCATAATACAAGGCAAGATGAAGTCAAACATACTTGACTTTAACATTATTTATTCTTTTGGATTTTTATACTACTTTTTATTTGTGTGGGAAAATAAAAGAGAGCTGATTATATGAAAAATATGAAAAGAATCACAGTTACTTGGAATGGAATAGGCTATATAATGTAACAACTATCTTCTTGGACACAAGGATATATATATTCAATCTCTTGCTGAAGTAGAAAATAATTTAACTGAATAAAGGCAGAATCAAATATAAAAGGGATTAAATCTTGGAACCAGGCTAATACACAGGTCAAAGAATCTCTTCTATAGGCCACTGACTTTCCTAAAGGAACTTCTTTCCAAAGGTGGAAACTAGTTATTATRAATCTCTTAGATTATATTCAGCTTCATGATACCTAATCACTTTCATTAATCTACAACTCTGGAAAATATCCAATAATTATTGGTTAATTTATAACATTACACTAACATATTTGTGTAATACTTCAGTGATTTATATACCTTTTCAAGTTATTTGARTTTTTAAATATTTTCTTTCTTTGCTTGCAGTTTTTGAAAATAATCATTTCATTTTTGAGCAAACCCTCAGCAACTTAGCAAGACCCTGTCTCAAAATAGAAAATAAAAAGGACTGGGAATGTGGCTCAGTGGTAAAGCATGCCTAGGTTCAATACCCAATACCAACAAATTTTTTTTCTATTATAAGACAAAATTTATAAAACTAATTTAACTACCAACGGTGTTCAAAATCATGAAATTCACTCAAGACTGAATAAAAATAACACCTATTTATATCACTTTAACATATGCATTATATATATGGGGGGRAAGTTGTCTTCTGTAAAATAATGAAAAGAAAAATGTTACCCAATGAAATATAAGATCATACGCATACTTTCCTTTTAAAGAAGAAAGCATAATATAAGTGAAATATGCATTTTAAGTCTGCTTCTCAATATTATTCTCTTAATGAGTGACTACAATTTGTATTATATAGTTTAAACTAGAGCTGTGTTAGAATCTATTTCCTTTTTACAATTACTCTGTGATGTGCTTTTTTTAATATTTATTTTTTAAGTGTAGATGGACACATCACAATGCCTTTATTTTTATGTGGTGCTCAAGATCGAACCTGAGTGCCCCCCCCCCGTGCTAGGTGAGCGCTCTACCACTGAGCCATAATCCCAGCCCTGTGATGTGTTTTTAAAAAGCAGATAATCATCCTATATGAAAACTATTTATGATGTTAAAAGAAAAACAAAAACTTATACAATGATGACAAATCAGAAACAAAATATAAAGTTATAAGTATTATTATGTTTTCGGAGGCAGATGGTATTATAATCTGTAATTTTTACAAATTTTACATTTTCATTTTACACATTCTTTACAAAATTTTGAAATGATTAAGAGAAATTCTTTAAAAAATTTAAGAAAATGATAGACTATATTCAATGGAAAACAGCAGTAAATTTTGTAGAAAAAWTTTTACAGTTTCTTCAAGGATTAAAACAGTTAGTTATATGAGTTCCACAGACTTGACTTATTCCCTAATTATTCTAGATCAATTCCTTGTGACTATGCAAAATATCCTGAGTTTATTTTATGTTGTTGATGTCTTAGTACACGTTCAAATCAAAGGCAAGAGTTAGTTTTTATAATTTGGAATTGTGATTAAATATTCAGTATATGAGACAATATACTTACTTTTAGAATTGCACACTATGGCTACAATACTCTCAGAATAATAATGAATTAATCACCTGAATTCAAGGGCTTCTCAGGTGGAATTGCTAGAGTATGAGGAAGCCTTGTAAGTGGCTGAATGATCATTGGAGAAAATAAATAAATTATTGTCCATGTTCGCATTACAAAAAGGGCCATGGTCTACTCTTAGTAGGTTAGTTACTAGCTGCGCTAACCAACAAGCTCTGACTTTATCAAAAGAGAAGAAAGCTCAACATAAGAAAAGTAAATTTAGAAATTCACTGATAAGAATTCCCAAATTTTTCAAGACAAGTCTGAAAATCATAATCTTCTTTGAAAACTATCATAAATCACTGATATATTAAATAAATCAATTATCATCTTACATTAAATTTTTGTGTGTAAAGACCAGAGAAATAGGCAGGTAATAAGAATTTCAGAAAAAACAAACAAACCGTGAGATGTACTAAAAACTAAAAAGTTTGTCTAGTAATATGCTTCTTTATTAGAACTGATCAGAGATTACGTACCAGATGGATAGATCTAGATCTTAAACTACCCATGATGCACAGGAGCACAGATTAATTGCTCTGTTATTTGTATACACCTTTTCAAATATTGCTGAAAAATATAACATTTCAATAATTCTACTAAAGTTTTTAGTGGCTATTGTTCACTCACATTTCCTTTATTTTAATATAAAGATAATAAATATGTATAATCACTGTGTCTATTTTAGTCTTCTTATAAGTGTAGGAAGGAAATGTAAATTCCTTCCTAGAATATAAATACAGTTTTGGCTCAACTGTACTTATTATATTCAATAAATTCCAAAACATTCTAAATATTAGATATAGCTTTATATAAAGAAATGACATCATCAAGTATAATAAAGAAATAACATCATCAAGTATAATAAAGAAATAACATCATCAAGTATAATAAAGAAATAACATCATCAATTATAACAGGTGAAGGCTATATACATAAAGAACATTTAAAGTATTGTACATACACTATTAGTAGGAGAATGGTATCCATAAAGTTGAAGACGCTGACATAGAGCACAAAGGGCCACATGAAGAGTCACATTTCAGAATGAACCCAAGAACAGCAAAAGAAAAAAGAAAAAGACGACAAAATAATCAATTAGGAAGGGCAAATCATTATGCTACATTCTTACACACACAATGCAAGTGGGATAAGTTAAAGATGAGTAGCAAAGTTTTAAAATTTTCATATAATTAAAACATTTAGTGAATTTGTGACCATTTCAACCATGCTCATTGTAACCTGATAGCACTATTGTTTTGAGTAAGACATACTCCTCTCAAGTATACAGCTTTATTTGGATGGGTTTCAGCAATTTTACATGGGATGGGCGAAACTCTAGATATAGCATCATGACAGTAGAAATGGTCTGAGACTTGCACTGGAATTCTGTTCTGTTATTATCAATGCTATGACATTATACAAGCTAAATAACCTCTCTTAGACTATTTTCTCGTCCATAAAACAGGTACAGTACTTACCTGGGAGAACTGTAATAAGGACAAAAATGGGAGTAACATTTATTATGAACACAGCACAGAGCTTAGCATGTAAGTATCCCAAGAAATGTTATGTTTATTTAACTCCTTCTCAAATATAGCTAATTTTTATATGGAAATATTTTAAAATTTAATTTTTATTTGAGTATGTTAATATTTATTATAAGGTAGTTATGTGATTCTATTAAGTTTTACAATTAGTTAACCTTTTTGACTTCTATTATATTTTGCATACTGTTAAAYGGCTACTGTTAAATGGCATGTGTTTTATTTAGTTCATTGAATTCCCATAAAAATCACATGTAGTCATTACTCCCGTTTACCCTACTTGTACAAATGAAAAAACTGAGGTATAGAAAAGTTAAGGAAAYTTATTCAAGATCACACCAATAATAAGTGGCATAGTTAATATTCAAACACCAAAAATCTGGCTCCTCAGCCTATGTCAGCCTGCTTCTTTTTTTTTCCAAGCTGCTTCTTTAATATAACCCACATATTTTCACAATGAGCTGGATTTTAGTTGCTTTGAAATTCAACCATAATATTTTAAGAATGTGTAGAATGATACTGTCATTTATAGCATCTTGACAGCACCACTTGATGTTCTAAATGATCCTCTATACTTACAATAGTATAAAATAAAATTTATTAGTTCAGTTTGCATTATTTAAAATGCAATTACTTATAGTAAATTAAAACTAACATTATCACTAAATATAGTAATAAATATTAGTAGAGAACTATACTGCTGAAAAGTAATGTCAATCAGAAGCAGAACTAAAGATTATTCCTGTATTAAGAAACAGTTCTGATAGTTAAGTTATATAAATGAGACTTTAGGAGCACTATTTAATCATACAAGATAAAACTTTTGAGACACCGGAGGAGATCAATGACTTTAGTAAGCATTCCTTTACATATAGGGCTAGGGATGCGGCTCAGTGGTGAAGTACCCCTGGTAACCTCCCTCAAAAAAAAAAAAAAAAAAAGTCTTTACCCATATATTTGCTAGGGATGCTTCATTGACCTATATACATATAAAACAACACAACTTGGATATGCTGTAGTAATTCAGATTTCATAATTTCAAGTTAATGAGATTTTACTGTATCATTATTACAGATATTTGCATTAAATCAATATTAAATTTTCTTTACCTTGGCTGTAATGAAGCTCAAAGAGATAAGTTTTGTGCTGATACTGTATACTTCCCCAATGTGTACTGTCTGCTAATATTTTTTCCCTTCCTCTCGCCCTTTGTTACCTGATGCATGTGTTTTAATAAACGTTAATGATTAGAATCATATTGTAGTTTTATTGGAAGATGAATAAATCCTCTCTGGAAGTATTATAAATAGACAAATAAATAAAACAATWATATTTCTATCCATTAAAATTCTATTTATTACTAAGGCATATCAAATTCATTAACATAATTAAATCTACTTAAATTATTTCATTAACAACTTGCCGATTCAGTGAATTATAGTTAGAGGTAATCTATCAAAATTAGAATAACTGTTTACTCTTTTAATGTATTATGTATAGGAGATAAAATTTAAGAATGTATTTAATTTTCTAGTTGTCTTTGCTAATACTTTAAATGATAGCATTTACAGGGCTATCAACATAAAATTTATTAGTTACAATTTGGAAACTATGAGACCTAAATTAAGTGGAGAACTTTACCTAATACCCCTTTAATACTTCCCTAACATAATCAGAACCAGCTCTTTTTTTTTTTTTTTTTTTTTTTGGCAATACTAGAGATTGAACCCAGAGGCTTTCTATTATTGAGCTACATTCCCAGCACCTCCCCTCCTTTTTTTTAAATTTTTTTTTTTTTAAAGAGAGAGTGAGAGAGGAGAGAGAGAATTTTTAATATTTACTTTTTTTTTTTTTTTTAGTTCTCGGCGGACACAACATCCTTGTTGGTATGTGGTGTTGAGGATCGAACCCGGGCCGCACGCATGCCAGGCGAGCGCGCTACCGCTTGAGCCACATCCCCAGCCCCTTTTTTWAAAAATTTTGAGACAGGGTCTTGCTAAATTGCTGAGGCTGGCTTCAAATTTACAATCCTCCTGCCTCAGCCTCCTGAGCTGCTGGAATTATAGGCATGCCCCTCTGCACCCAGCTCTTTGTTTTTTTAAGACAGTCTTCTATAAGTGTTGCCATAATGCATTTATAATTTCATCACAGTAAAATATCAACTATTGATAATTTTATCATAGTCAAATATCTTATGAAGTATGTCTTTCATAGTCCTGGTAATCTGAATTTATTAAATTAGATATAATTAAATATTTCACTAATATACTGGGAATGAATATGGTGCCCAACTGCTATCAATAATTCATGTTTAAAGAAAAACTAATACAAGTAACCATGAGAATAAAAAATGAAGTTAATTATTTTAATTYCAATAAAACAATTAAATTACTTTAAAGGGGGACTAATTTGCAAATAAAACAATTATTTACATGTCCGTATTTCTGGTATACCATATGAAGAAATATGGTACAATAAAAAAAAGTTCAGGTTTTGGAGCTGGCCATATTTGGGCGCAAATCTTAGCTTTCCTATTTAATAGCTATATAACTTTGGATATGATATTTTCCAATTATCAGTTTCCTCATCTACAATTGTGGATAATAAAAGAATTGTTAGGTAGATTAAATGAGTAAATTCATGCAAAGTGCCTACTATAGTGTCTGACAGCATGTCTCTGAACTCATTTGTTATTTTTGTAACTTGAACTGACTTGTTGTTAGGCTGAAATAATTGAGACAAACAAACAAACCAAAAAACTGGTAATAAGATGGAAGGAAATGTTGCTTAGAAAATTCTAACTTCAGAATAAGACAATAATATTATACATTCCAGAAGAAGAATCTATAATATATATTTCTATGAATATTAACAAAAATCTACATTACTGCCTTGTATTCGTTTCAACATTTATATTGTTATATTACCATTAAGTTCATTTATATCAAAATTAAATCTTTGCAATTCACCTTTTAATTTTTATATGCATAATGATCTGCATTAATATGCTGTATGATATACCCTTCAAATCTCACATATAACAATAATATGAATGAAAATAATTTAATGAATGTGACTATGGGTACAGATATTTAATATCAATATTTAATGTAAATATTGATATTGAGGAATATAGACACAAAGAATTTTTCTATATAACAACTGTAAAAAGTTTTCAAGAAAATTTCTAACTTCAATTACTATTTCCCAGTGTGAATAAAGTAATTCTCACCTGGAAAACCCACCTGAAACTACTACAAAGTATTTCTTACCAGCATTGCACGCTTTTCTTCATCTCCTTTAGTTTCTCTCTTTTCATTTTTTTTCCTGAATATCTCTTGAAGCTGAAAKGAAATTAATCAACAATCAAATACCCAAGAAAAGTTTTGAGGCACCTACCTATCACACTATGCTAGGAGAATTCTGAAAACAAAGAAAATATTTGGATACTACTTCAACTTCTTATTTCATTACACAATAGTTGAAAGTTAAATAAAATATGCTACCTCCAAAGACTATAGACTTATTCAAATAACTTAGACCACCTCCTGCTTTTAGGAGCGCTTCTCAAATGGGCAAATTATTATGTATCAGGCAGTAGTACAGCAACTGAAAAGACGGGATACCAGCTTTAAAGGGAAAGCAGCTTTTTGTAAGAGGGTAGAGGGCCAGAGATGTGGCTCAGTGGTAGAGTGCTTGCCTAACATGAACAAGGTCCTAGTTCAATCCCCAGCACAACAAAACAAAAACCCAAAGAGTGTACAGTAGAAACAAATAGGAGGTCAACATGAATACTTTAACCTCCCATCTCCATAAATAGACAGCATTCCAAAAGCCATMTATATATAAAACTACTTCAAGGGAATGAGTTCTCTAAGTTATATGTCAGTGGGGTGGAATTTAGCAGTGTTGACACTAAGAATACTTACTCAAAATTTCTTAGATAAATAAATAGGCACATTCTGAAAGTGTCCCAAATACAGTTCTGTACTATCATAACAAAACTACATTACACTAAACTTGTCTATTTTAGCATATCTCCATTTATTGCAACAAAACTAAGAACACCCACCTCTTGACAATTCTGTAAAGCACTAGAATGTAGGTTACAGGTCCAATGGCTTTGGCTCAGGGACTACCCCTAGGCAAGGGCTATGTGGATGTTTAAGATTTTTWAAAAAATTTAAATTGATTTTTTAAAAGTAAATGACAGTGGAATTCATTACAATTCTTATTACACATATACAGCAAAATTTTGTAAATCTCTGATTGTATATAAAGTATGTTCACACCAATTTGTGTCTCCATACATGTACTTTGGATAATGATGTCCATCACATTCCACCATCCTTGCTAACTGGTTACCCTGCCCCCTCCCTTCCCCTCCCACCTCTGCCCTATCTAGAGTTCATCTATTCCTCCCATGCTCCCCCTTCCTATCCCACTATGAATCAGCCTCCTTATATCAGAGAAAACAGTCAGCATTTGTTTTTTGGGGATTGACTAACTTCACTTAGCATTATCTTCTCCAACACCATCCATTTACCTGCAAATGCCATGATTTTATTCTCTTTTATTGCTGAGTAATATTCCATTGTTAGTTTAAGATTTTTGATAAATCCCACTAATTAGTCTTGCTTATTTCCCTTTGAATGGGTACTAATGAACTTTTGATGAGGATTTTTCTCTCTCCTCTTTTCTACCAGAGAAAAAAATGATTTCATCTGTGTTTTAGTCTGTGAAGTAAATTTGAAGCTTATTAAGAGGTTTTCTGAGAGATTAGTAATGGTTGTATTACAAAGGGAAAAAAAAACAAAAATAGAAAGTAAAATGACTATGTGCCATTTTTTCCCTTTATTTTTATGAAGGTAAAGACAGATTTGAACATAAATCTTAAGGGTAGACCTTACTACTTTAAGAAAAATATTAATTTCTATTTTAGAGCAAAAACATAGAAATTTTACCATAGAAAAAGATTCAGGATACATAAATAAAAAGAAAGAGAAAAATACTGGAGGAGGAGGTGGGAAGATAAATGAGCAGCTGAAGACACTGTCAGACCAGCACTAAGGCTGGACTAAGGTAAGAAAGATCTACCTATAAATACTTAAGAACTGTCAGCCCTTATTCAAAGACAAGAAAAGGGAATAGGGAAGTGGATACAATACTACAATAAAAGGCACCAGTGAGTGGAAGAGATAAGGAAAAAGGGAAACTATCTAGACCCTGTACTGAGAAGGAAGGAAAATGCTTATGGCAAATACTTACGATTAGGTGGTTGATATAATAAAGACTGAATACTAACCTGGGCAAATATAATATTAGGGCTGCTTGTTATCTATCCAATAGATAATATCTGATACATTCCAAACTTCTAGCTAGTATTTATACACAATTTTAATCATCTTTATACTATGAACATAATGTATATTTTTATAATGAAAATATTATTGAAAGTATGAGTATATATTTCTTTACTAAAGTTGAAGTATAGATTTTTCACTCTTTCCTCTAGAGTAGTACTTCGATAATGTAAAAGCATAAACATATAAAATAAGCAATATTTATTATTGATAAAATGCAGCATATAATATACTTACCACCAAAAACTCCTTTTTATCCACCATCTCATTGCCATCAGTGTCAAACATGTTGAAAGCTATTCTAAAACCTGCATGTGGCTCTGCCATAAAAAAATAGAAAAAATATTCATGAAATGGAAAAATGTATTTTTAAAGTACAAAATCTGTAAAGTTGTAAACAGTTTCTCAAATGTATTATGGAAATATTTTCCTCAACCAAGAAAATAAAAGCAACATGTTACTATTATTTAAATGTAACAAAAACTATAAAGACATAAACACAATAGCAGACTTAATACCCAAATTGGTAATATACTTTAAAAGTATCTTATAATACTGTATAGTACAAAAGGCAAAAATTGACTGCTTTTCTTCTAAAAATAAACATTCAAAGTCTGTTAGTTTGTTAAAAAAAACTATCAGCTCATCATATCTGAAATAATCTCAATGTTTAACAACTTAGGTTGATATAAAAAAATAAAAATATGACACAATGAAACAGTTCCAATTTGGAAAATTATAATTCAATGTCAAGAATGAGAGGTTTCAGATTTGGGTTTAAGTTTCTGAAGGCTTCAAAAAGAGAAATATAAAAAAAGAGGTTTGATTATGTAATTCCCAATTCCTCCAAAATACAAAGAAAAATTGCTTTTCTGAGAAAGACTTTCATAAGTTAAAATAATAAAAAATAAAAAGGAAACACTTATAGACAGACAATGAACTGCTTTAATTTTATGAACTTTATAACAAGGTTCACTCTTTTTTCTTTTCACTTCTAGAACAAAAAGAAGAAACCTGGGCTGAAGAAAACTTTAACATGTCCTTCAAATAGAAGCTCAGTACACACGCTTCTCAAAGTATTTGACTTTTCTTTTGACATGACTGGCATAAAGTTTAGAAAGGACCCCTGCAACTCCCCACTACACTGTTATGGTTTAGATGTGAGGTGTCCCCCCAAAAGCTCACATGTGAGACAATGCAAGAAAATTCAGAGGAAAAACGATTGGGTTATAAGATATTAACCAAAT